ATAAATATTTAAATATAAATTTAAATATTTTATCATTTAAAAATACATTGTGTCCTAATTAGTTTTTTTATTAAGTAATAAGTGATACATATTTGCAGTAATTAAGAGTTTCTGAAATCTGTCCTAAAGCTATAAATTATTGTATTTAATTAATAATATAGATATCATCTAACATCATTACTTAGAATTTTATCAAAATTGCTTAGAATTTAGTTATTAATGAGTTATATTACAAAGTGATTGAGAATAAGATCATAAAAACTTATTCCTTTTAATTGATTAATCATCAATCAAAGGATTTAAACCAGTCTTAAATTTTTTGGAAAGGTATGAATGTGGCTCTTCTACTACTGATTTAGTTTAAAATAACAAACATGCTCTTTGCTTTTTTGAACTTTGCAATTAGGGTACTCAGAAAAATGCTTAATTCCATTTTAAAGAAGATTAAGAAGGTCTACTAACACTTTTAATTTAATTAGATTTTTATCGATAACTATAAATTCTTAGTAATTATTTTTGTCTTAATAAATTCTTTGTCATTTAAAGCACAGATATCTATTTATTTGAGAGATAAAACAATTTTTCTGTCAATAATCTAATATTCTGTCTTATTATATAATCAACGAGATTATCTAAGATAGTAAATATCCCATCATGATAAATGTCAGTTCTATTGAAATTTAATTAATGGATCTAGCATAGGCTTTGAAATTAAGGTAGCTGGGCGATTTGAAAATATCAGAAAAGAAAATACGACAATATGAAAATTAAATCAATTTAACAATTAGTTAATTAAATTCAATATATCTAATATATTTTTTTTAAATTTAGTTTTTTTTCAATCAATCTTAAAACTAAATATTTGAGTATCATCAAATAGTGAAGAATAACAAATAAATTGTGTATTTATATTTAAGTTTTTATGCTCAATCTCATTATATTTCTATTTATAATAAAACTTATTCAAATGGATTGTTATATTAAATAATTTAAGAGGCAGACAGTGAAACTGAAGTCTTAGCTATTTTAATATATTGCTCTGAAATTTAGTTTAATTAAAACTTTGCTTATAATCTTACTATTTTAATTTTATTGACATCACACTTGATAGTAGGAGATGAACACCATTCATCATTACAAAATATTTTTACATTTAAAACTTCCTTATCTAAGCATTTCCAGTAAAATATAATCTTTATAGAACCAATTTCTTTCGCTATTGTAATTTATTCTTGTAAAATTTAATTTTAAGAGTAGTTTATTTCCTAAATTTCAATATGAGTATCTATTTAATCTTATGGATCAAAAAATCTAGATTATATCAAACCTTTAAATATAGCCAGTTCAAAATAAGGATCATTAATACAAAAATGATTATGTTATATTGATAAGATAATAGTTGGACCCCCTACAATAATGATGATTGATTACATGGATAAATCCCAACAGTAATTTCTGATTGATATGTCACTTTTGTTTCATATCTAATATTTAAATCAGATCCATCATGTTAAAATCCCAAAAGATTTAAATAACAATTT